AATTGGTAGAACGGTTACCGATATACTTATATGTGATCATAAGTGGGCGGTGCCACGCCCATTTTCCAAAATTTTACAATAAACGTATTTCTTGGTAAAGAATTGTTGCAAGCATCAATTTTGAATAAATTAGCTTCAATATTTAATGATTTATCGAAGATTTTGTATTTCTCTAAGTTACCGTTATATGGGATGTGGGCGTGGTTATTGAGCGATTTTAAAAATTTTCGGCCATTTGGTATGTTATGCGAAGGCCAACAACTGTGCCAAGTTTGGAAGAAATTGGTGTAGCGGTTACCAAGATATACACATGTAACCATAAGTGGGCGTGGCTACGCCCATTTTCCAAAAATTTATAATATTCTTATTTTTCGTGTAAAAATTATTGTAAATATCAATTTTGAGTGAATTATCTTCAATAGTTACTAAAATATCGCAGTTTGCGTATTTCTGGAAATTACCGTTATATGGGAAGTGGGCGTGGTTAAAGTCCGATTTCGCCCATTTTCAATACCAACCTACCTTGGATTAAGGGAAACCTACATACCAAATTTCGTTGAGATATCTCAATTTTTGCTCGAGTTATCGTGTACACGGACAGACGGACAGACGGACAGACGTACGGACAGACAGACATGGCTTAATCGATTTCTTTTTTCATCCTGATCATTTATGTATACATTTGTCTATATCTATCTCGATTCGTTTTGGCTGTTACAAACAACCGTTATGTGAACAAAATTAATATACCCTTGTGCACAAGTGCGCTCGGGTATAAAAATGTTTACATTTCATTGTGCGGGGTTTTAATGTAACTATTTTGCGAAGTGTCTACATAATTATAGTGTTTATTGTGTGAAATAGCGCCGAGAGGTTAGTTCAATTTACAAACTTTAACAACAAATAACTTAAAAACTATAAGCCTCCTGCGGCTAAAAGTATATATATTTGCAATCAGGAGAACTCCCTCTACCCCCCATAGCCACCTTTTTTTTGTACGCGGGGGATGCCAATCTAAAATTTTCCCCTTGAAGATTTAGTTCCTGGTGCGTAATTTATTATAAGTGGCGGAGGTGTGCCATGAATTTTGGATGTTTGGACCCTTTGTATGATCGTGCAATCTGTATTGCTACCCAGTACGACTCGCCATGAGATGGGTTTGGCCATGCAGCAATTCCAACACTTGATTAGTTGTGGCTATTTTTCAATTAAAAGTCTAGCAGGTTATACAGCGTGGCGACGAATATCTGTTACCCAGGTTTTCATTTGCCACGCAAGTCTTCGTCAGTTAATTTATTCCACATCTGCTGTAGACATAGGCTAATTTTCTCCATTTTGAGTCATTTATACTCCCCCTTCTGTCCAACATAAGGCCTCATACTCAAAAATAGAATAGACTCGGAACTGGTGACTAGGACGGCCATTCATTCGACCAACCTTATACAGTTTTTTTCTTTTTTGTACTTTTTTTATACAAAGCCTAAGAAAAAATACACCTGAAAAAGACTTGCGTGCCAAATGAACTTTTCTCTCAAAGTTTACACTGCTGGCAAATGTAGATAAGGATTAAATTTTAAAAACTAATTAATACAACTAAAGTAGAATCTGTGGAAAATTAACAATAAAATACTTTTTTCGCAAAATCTATAAAGGACCCTTTTATTTCTCAAAAAAACCTGGGTAACAGTTATTCGTCGCCACGCTGTACATATAACCAGCACCATTTAAATCCACAAACCAAACTTCATAAAAAAGTTATAAAAATTCACAAAATTTACCAATTGCACCCAAAATTGTAAAACTTTTTATTCAGAATTTTTAGAAAATTTTTTTTTTTTTTTTT